TTAAATATATGAAAAGATGGTCAATCTTTTTTCATAGTAGAAAAAATTAAATTCAATTCAGTGAAATAATTTTTTGCATAACAGATTGACAGAGTTTAAAACATTTAACACACTTTACTGACTAAAATGCAGGGAAACCAGAACTTTTGTACTTGATTTGTGAGAAATGTAAAGTGATGCAATTTCTCCAGAGGACAATCTGGGAACATCTAAAAATATTTGATATTAAGATTTTTTTGATTGAGATATTGTACTTCTTGCAATTTATTCTGAATAAATGTGTTCACACATATGCTTGAAGACACGTGCAAAAGAATTTGCATGACAGTATTGTTTGCAACTGAAACTACCTAATTGAGGAAGAAACTCTCAATGTCCATCAATAGAAGACGGATTAAGTAAATGATGCTACATCCACACAATGGAACATTCTGCAGCTTTAAAATGAATAGGGCTGTTCCAAATGCACTGAATAAGCTGTTACATAAAATCAAGCAAGGAATGGAAGGATGTGGGTTGGGCACTGCATTTGTATAAAAGAAAAAGCATATACTTTACTATAGTAAATATGAATACATACATGTCTGAATTTACCTCTCAAAATGCACTTTTATTTCTGTTGTCTGGTGACAACACTGATGTCACCAGAGGAACTGGGAGAGAGATGTAGGAGGACTTGTTTCCAATGTATACCCTTTTGTTGCTAGGGAAGTGTGGTATGTTTGACCTATGTAGAAAATTGGTATCTAGATACTCATTACATAAAGGTGGAAGCCATTCCACTTACGAGACTGAAAGTCATCAAGATATTAGTGCAGAGAGATAGAAGAACTCCAACCCCAAAGACTCCTACCTAGAGAATGACAACATATAAATACTTCTACCGCTCCTTTGCAGGTGACTTGATAGCACACAACAACAACAACAACAACAACAGATATTCAGATTACCATGTAATAGATGAAAAGGTGGGGTTGTTATGTGCTGTTGAGTAAAACCAACTCAGAACCGACTTTCCAGCAGGTTTTCAGAGGCTATAAATGAGAACAGAGGAACTAATCTTTCTCCCATGGAGCAGCTGGTAGATTTAAACCATCCACCTTTGGGTTGACAGTGCAAGTCCAGACCTACTAGACCACCAGAGCACTACAAAGAAAGGGCAGATATATTTATAGGTCATAATTATCTAGGTGGGAGTCTTTGGGGCTGGAGTTCTTTCAATCTACACTAATACGTTAACAACCCCCAGTCTCATAAGCTGGATGACTTTCACCTTTAATTGTGGAGTCGAGATCTCTCTCCTGAACTGTGGACTTGGATAGTCATCTTCTAACTCAACAACTCTGTTTTGTTTTCACATTTCAAACTGAATGTAGACAAAACGGTCCTGGTCTTTCTTCATCTCATCTTTGACAGTTCAGCTCATAATCACGGAGCTCTTGTCTCTTCATTCTTTGCAAATAGCTCATCTGAGCATCTGTGAGCCCCTGTATCCCTCTCAGCCCATTCCAGGTCAGTGTGAACTGTTGCATAATGTCTTAGCTCAGAAATCCCCAATTTTCTTGGTTCATGGCATGTGTAATGTCTCAGTAAGTTGTTTGGAGTTGGGTTGGTTTCTTTTCCCCCCTCAAAAGAAGTATCTAATATTTTCATTTATTAAGTTGTTAGGTTCATACAACTTGATAACAATTTGTGCTGTAAAAATGAAATTTATTTGATATGACCCAACTTCTCAAACATTAAGATATGATGACAAAGGAATGTTGAAGTTGTTGAACTGTCTGGAGCTAAGAGTTCATGTTGTAGTAGAAAGAGGTCATTGTACTTTCCTCAAAATTAAAATATCTTAAAGATACTTTTGTGAGTGTGCTATGAAACCATAGGATATCTCAGGGCACCTTAGAAACTGGCCTAACTGGTATCCCTGCTTCTACTTTTGGTTTTCTATAGGCCACTTTCAAGAGCGGAGCAAAACTGATCTAATTATATCCCTCCAATGGCTTCACAGCCTGTGTAATTCCCAGCTCTGCACACCTCCACTCTGACACTGCCCACTTATTACCTGATTGGTCTTCTTACCAACTTACTTTACCATCCTCTCTTCACTCCAGCCACATTAGTTCCCGGCAGTCTGTGGCTGCCTCTACACATGTTCATTGTTCTCTCTGGAAAGTTCTTCCCTCAAATAATTACAATGTGCTGACTTATTTCCTCTCTTAGGAGCTCTCTCATGTACTCAAATGTTACCTCCTTTGCGTGCCCCTCTCCTGGCCACCTGATTAATAATTATGCCTCTTCACATATCTCTCACCCCCTTGTCCCTGCCTTTTGGTTGGCATGGTACTACTTGTGCACACACGTATTTCATTTTAAACCGTGTGCCTATAGATATATAAATGTTTGAGCCCTTAAGAAAGCAGATGACCAGGCAGAATTAGAAGTTCAAGAGATTTACTCGGAGAAACACCCACAGATGGTTAACAGAGAAAACAACAGGAGTTGGCAGGGAGAAGCTACCCACCACAATGCAGAGCTGATGTCTGTAAAAGGAAGAAGAAGGAGGAAAAAGGACTCGATGGAGAGAAGCTCTGACTTCACTGTAGCTCTAGGAAGGTCTCGGCCAGTCAACAGGGAATGTCAGGGTAAATCTCGCCCACAGAGGAGACCTGCACTAGGCCTGGCTCCCCGCCAGAGCCCCGCTGTGCTCAGTCATTGGCTCAAGGAGATCAGAGAGAATACAGCCTCAGCATGAACAAGGCAGCAGGTCCCTAAGGTGCAGCAGATGGAGTCTGAGGGTTGACCTTCCCTACAGCAGTTTCCCTCTGAGGTGTGTGTGTGTGTGTGTGTGTGTGTGTGTGTGTGTGTGTGTGTGTAG